CGGTGTTTGCCATCGGGATTGGGTTTTCGTCGCTTGGCAAAGACGCTGTAAAACAAGCCAATTCACTCCGTGAACTCGGCAATCAGGTTGCCGGTTGTTTTTTTTCCACTCCGTTTTTTTTTTTGGCAGTAGCCATAATGGTGGTCGAGTAGATCATGTTGTGCGGGGTGGAGAACCCTCACTCCGCGCAAGGGGGATGATCGCACCACGTTGTGTTAAAATGGTCAAGCACCCTCGAGGCAGTTACACAGTGCTTACAACTGTCTCTGGAAGTGAAAGCACCAGAAAATAAATTAAGTCATACGCAGCTGTCATCCGTACGCAAGGAAGTAAGCACAAGATGCCGAAAACCCTTAGCAGGATGCAGCGCACCCTTCATGCGACTCGCCGAATACCTCACGGCGCTTCGCGCTTGGCGATGAAAAGGCCTGGTCCGGTGAGAACCCGGCGTGCTCCGTCCCGGCTTTGTAGGGATGCGAGGTCAATGGTCTAACGACTACGGCATGCACGACTATGAGTACCCCCCCCCCCCCTCCCCCCCAATTCACAAGCATGGTATTTCCCTACGTACAATACATGCAGGTAATGGCAGATCAATGGTGTCTTCGCGTTCGTCTGCCCAGTGATCAATGTAAACACCTTCTGAACGAATGCACTTCGCACAGCTTCAGGTACCGAATATGTTGCCGTGGGTGTGGTGCCTCGAGACGAACGTTTGCAAGCTCGCACCTGTCTTAGGTCAGCCGGTTGTGAAGGCATTCGAGGACAATTTTCCACACAGATTGATGGGCACGAGAAGAGATTTACCATGGTTCGTTAAAATGGTAGATACTGTGTCGGCGAGCAGTCAAACGCGCTGCAAGAGTCATGTAACGAGGAACACACACAGGTAGTAGGTACTTGGCTTCGATCGGGATGACGGTAGAGTGAACTCCAGTCAAACGATTTCACAACAATATCGATTGGGCTCACGAGCCTGAGTCGAGATAAAAAAATACAAGCGGTTCACAGCAGCATGGGAATAGCTGCTCGCCGGCGCCATGTATCTCCTGGCCTGAGCGAAGAGGAAGATGTGTCTACTCCGATCTTCAAGCATACCACAAGTTACGGCTGGGAACTAGGAAAGTATGAAGGTTTGAGACGCACGTCATCGCGCAGCTAGATGCCACACTCACATGGGTCATTCGTGATAATTCGTTCAGCAGCTAACTTCCGTGAGCGAGCGGTAATATGTTCATAAGCAAATTACCATGGCATTCCCACTTGCGGTTCCTTTTACCTCCTTGGCAAGACCCCAAAAGAATGCCGCTACCACTCCCCCCCCGCGAAGATGTGGGTCTGCATTAGTGCAAGACTATTCTGTTCGCGCATCCATGTTTCAGCGACTCGACATCTTTGCCTTCGTTGACAAACGTGAGAGAGATATAATTGTCAGGTGGTATGATGAGCTGGAGGATAGTTTCTTGAGGAAATGCATTGTTTGATTCTTTGATGGTAGCCAATAACGAAGGATTCTTTCTTCCCTGCGGAAGGAGGCTTATTGGGCATGTATCGGGTGCAAATGGAGTCAACTCGACACCCTCCCACGAGACGCAACACGCATCCATCTCCACCCATCCGCCTTGGCCAAGGCCGTTGTTTGGCGGTAGTTCCACAAGGCGCCCATGTGGGTCTTGTATCGGCGTCGACGAAACACTTTTCGGTGAACCCACCTTCCACGATAGTATGAAAACTGTACAAGAATATGCTTGTTGACACAGAGCACCGTCCGCTGCACGTGGGGTCTCCCACACTTTCTACAGTTTTCCCAAACGACCCATGGCCCGCGTATGGGCACCCCGTGAGGCCCATGGGCAATCATCACATGGGTCACCCATGGGCGGTCCGTGGGCGGCCAATGAGAGCCCTTCACCCAACCAGAATACTCCTAAGCAATTGATTATCTGCTTTACAATGGGCGCTGTAGCGGCAAATAACCCTACGGCTAATCGTAACCCTACCCCCAAGCCCACACGATACGAGCTAGGTTGGCGCTGGTGGCTATGTTCTAGGTTGAAGTCCCCACGGTAGGGACTTCATGGGTCGCCCATGGGCCGTTATGGGGATGCCCGTGGGTGGGCCGCGAAGTGCCCATGGGCGGCCCATGGGTGACCCATGGGTGTCCCATGTGCGGTCGAAGAAAACGATCAGTAGGGTGGCAGGTTGTGCACGTAACCCCAAGAGTTGGTGCGTGCGCCCTTTCTTCACGAGGGCCGGGGTCCGATCCCAAGCATCCTCGTTTCCGTTCTCTATATTTCTTCAATAATCTTGGAGTGTACCTCCAGGCTTTCACGGTGCTTTTTTTTTCCTAGGCCGTCTTGGTCGTGGGGATCACGGGAACGAATATTTGTTGTACATATTAGGGACTGCAACCACAAGTTTTGGCCAACCATACATACAAGGATCCTGGCCAAACCGCATTTCCCTGTAATTTTGCCCAAGATGGGCGGCCCACTGGTACGCCCAACATGTTCACCTGGTGGGCTGTGCCCCACGATGGGCTACGCATATTCGGGTGCCAATGGACAATGTAGGCTTGCCCGTTGGGCATGACCATGGGCGGCCCGTCGTGGCCAAAAATGCAGCCCATGGAGTGCCCACCATAAGCTGCCCATGGGCTGTCCATGGGCAGACGGATGATCAAAACCCCGAAAGTGTGGGAGACCCAAAGCAGGGGGGCGGGCGCTCGTCAACATCAACAAAAGGAACAAACGTGATCCGTCTCGTGGACAGCGCACTCCCGAACACTTACCCGTAGGTGGACAAGTCTAGGAACATGTCGATGGACGTTGTCCACGGACATGTCCGTGGACATGTCCAAGGCCACGGACACTCCCGAACACTTACCCGTAGGTGGACAAGTCTAGGAACATGTCGATGGACGTTGTCCACGGACATGTCCGTGGACATGTCCAAGGCCACGGACACTCCCGAACACTTACCCGTAGGTGGACAAGTCTAGGAACATGTCGATGGACGTTGTCCACGGACATGTCCGTGGACATGTCCAAGGCCACGGACACTCCCGAACACTTACCCGTAGGTGGACAAGTCTAGGAACATGTCGATGTACGTTGTCCACGGACATGTCCGTGGACATCCTTGGACGGGCAACGGACGTGTCCATGAAGTGGTTGAATAATGTACATAGCCCGCATCAACGGAAAAAACAGAAAATTGCCGCGAAATATTGAACGGCCCCACATACGTCGCGCCCGTCGGACCCATGTCCCTCTGGTGCACGTCGCTGAACCACAAACGGTTGACTCTGTGTGTCGGCATTCGTGCACCATCACCATCGCACATACGACTATAGTAAGGTATTGGGTCGCTACCCCGCGGCATACTTACCCAGCCCCTACCTAGTATGTATTGTCCATGGTTTTTCACACAAAATACCGGTCGCCCCGGTAGTCTAGTGGGTAGCCTCGCAGCCTGTTAAGGGCCAGGTCATGGGTTCGAGTCCCGGCAGAGAAAGTTTTTTTCTCACTAAATAAATCCTGGTCTAGGTTGAAAGCGACGCGCTGCAAATCTCGTTTGCTAGTAAACCATAATCGACTTCGTAAGTCGCGAGGGAAGGGATTGCTGCACCCTTCTCGCGATAAAAATACCTCAGGCACGAACCGCAGGAGGGGGTCCAACCCCCCCATCCTATGTGACCCCGGTTGGGTCGTCTAGCTAGTAGAAGTGGAGGATAGGGGCCAGAGGGGCAGACGACAGAGTCCAATGATGGGAGAAAAACAAATATTCTAAACAAAAAAATATCAACTTACCCCTTCGAACTGTTCGAATCCGCTGTTTCCGAAAACGTACACGATGAACATCCACACTTCTAAGAGACCCAGAGTCCCCAGCGCCTGCGCAAGCATGCCTCCATCTGGACGGTAGAGTAGGAGAACATCATGGCGAACGGAACGAGAGATACATAGTCCACTACTTTAATCACCCATGCAGAAGGTAAACGACAACCGCAACAACAAGTTGTAATCAACCCCCTCCGACGCCGAATAGTGTACCGTAGGTTGTGTAAGATACCACGCTTCCTGGACCGACTTCCAAAGCCAGATAATTACTCCACGACGAAGAGGATGCCGAGATCAAATGATGCTTTTTCGGAAAGCTCTGGAAACTGGCGGTTCCAACGCCGTCACTTTCGGCACCATTGCTGCTTTTCTGCTTCTCCTACTGAGCAATCGAGCTTTGCATCGGTCCAAGGGGGTCTGATATTCCTGCAGCCTACGGCATGTCAACAGCAGTATCATTGCATAGACTGTTGTTGCAACAAGCTGCGAGAGATAATCGGAAATTAGTACACAACAGAAGTTTTTGCTCTCGGTGCATCGCCGGTGTATGATGTATCTCGTCCCAAAAAACAATATCGGCGGGGTATTCATGAGGCATTTTCGACGGCCCACCAAATTGTCTCCAAGGTGCTCCCCGCTTGGTAAATACGATACGCGGTCGGGACGCCTGTCTGTGTGGGGCGCAGATGGCCTACTTTGCGTATGCACAACCACAACCCTCTCACAGCATAGACCATACATACCTTTACTTTCAGTCCCATCGTTGTCAGTGAGCACAACAGGAGGACCTGCACCTTGAACGCCTGCTGGGGCGGGCGGGAGTTGCCCCCCTTCACCGCCGATCTGAGCCATTTTGAGGCTGTGTACTGCTGCACTGACGTATCGCTGAGGGTCACGCTCTGTCCAGCAAGGCCGCTCGATCAATTGGTCACCCAACTTAGCGGAGAGAGATGGAAGAGAAGAGAGACACGCCAACAGGGACACCTCGATGTGATATCTCTACAGCATTACACCACTAAAGAGCTCAAGTTTGCCCGATGATCAGTTCTGCCGCTTCCATCACCCATCACTGGACTGCTGTGCGAGCGGTTGGAGCTGGGATATTTCCGATCACAAGGCTAATGTGCGGAGAACAGCCGTTGTCCCATCGTGGAGAGTGTTCTTGTGGTTGCTGCGACCAGCGTACAGCGTTGACACACGTGGGAAGCACAGTGTCATCAATTCGGAGCTGATGCTTCATGTGTTCGTGATTCTCATCATCAGCCAAGGTTCGCAGCAGCCGCCAAATTGTTAGGAGAAACAAATATAGGTCTACACACAGAAAGACTACCCGTTCGAGGTATAACTACACTCGAAGGGGATGTGTTGAAGTCTTTACAGTGAGTAGAGGAAAACCAGCTGGGTACTTGACTTATTTCGAGTTTGTTTAAGCCTATACACTGATGATATATATCAGTGATACCAGTTGGTGCTTAGCACAAAAACATCTACGTAGGTACATTTACATGTGGCCTGCACAGGGAACACGGCGCAATATGTCAAATTATGTACCGTGGGTGACACAAGATACCACTCCCCTGAACCAATTTCCAAAGCTCATTTACCCCACGAAGAGTGGTGGTGGCGAAAATGGCGGTGTTTCACCCATGTGATCGAGGTCTTTCCAATAACGCATAGGTTGAGATATTCACCCACTTCGTCGTGGATGTTTTTGTGTGTTTTTTATTAGCATCGACCGCGCTAACCGGCTGAACAATTAAAAGACGCCAGTCTTGGTGTGTGTGTGTTTCTAATTCGTCCTACAATTGTATTTATTATGGCGACAGTCCCCCCATTTTTCGTGGTGAGACGTGTAGACTACTACACTTTTCAGCGTATGTATGTATGTAAAGTACTACACTTTTCAGTGTCTGTTTTTTCGTACAACTATAAGCATCCAGGGTCACACAGGAGGGGGTAAGCACCAGGGCTTTTCTCTTCTTTTCATTTCTTCTCATGCCCCACTTCCTCCTGCGGTGCGTGCTGGATTTTTTTTTTTTTTTATCGCGAGAAGGGTCCAGCCGTCCCGTTCCCTCGTCAACGGTGCTAACGTCGAAGTTTGGTACTCACGAGAGCTTAGCTATTTAGACTAGTCTTTGTTTTTTGTTTGTTTCTCTCCCATCATTGGACTCTGCCGTCTGCCCCTCTGGCCCCTATCCTCCACTTCTACTGGCTAGACGACCCAACCGGGGTCACATAGGAGGGGGGGGTTGGACCCCCCTCCTGCGGTTCATGCCTGAGGTATTTTTATCGCGAGAAGGGTACAGCAATCCCTTCCCTCGCGACTTACGAAGTCGATTATGGTTTACTAACAAACGAGCTTTGCAGCGCGTCGCTTTCATCCTAGACCAGGATTTATTTAGTGAGAAAAAAACTCTCCCTGCCGGGACTCGAACCCATGACCTGGCCCTTAGCAGGCTGCGAGGCTACCCACTAGACCACCGGGGCGACCGGTTGTGTATTGAATATGGTAGAATATTTCGCGTTGACCCGCAAATCCCGTAATTTTTTCACCCCATGGGAATTCGAACTCACGACATCTGCGACTAGCGGATTACGAGGGTACCACTAGACCACCGGGGCGACCGGTGCTGAGTACCAGTCGAGCTTTAATACTCGGCGCAGGGAGTGTGGTGGTGTGGTACCTAGTGTCACCTTCCGCAGGCAGCAATCAATTTCGGAATAGATACTTGGGCATGTTATTTTTGTTTTTTTTAAGATCACACAACAAATTCATGTCTACCTATAGAAATAAGTCTAAGATAGATTAGCAATGACTCCATAGCGTGAGCGAAGGGCTACCTGTATGTCTACGATTTCCCAGACAGCATACAACGATAACTCCCCTTTGGGTAACAGGCTCAACAAGGCAGTTTGGTAGCCATCTTGTGTATCTATATGTATGTTATGTCGGGAAGTTGTAGACGGAAGATTTAGGGGAACTCGGTTTGTCGGGTGTCCTATTATAGCAGCCTCTTGTGTTTGCGGAGCAAGCGCGCCTCGGGATGTGTGTAGTTTCGTCATCAACTTATTTTTTGTTTGTGATGAATGGGGGCATGTGCGGCGCGGGAGAACATATGCATATTTACCTTGTTGTGTAATGGCATGTCGTTCAATGTGAAGGGCACGTCCCAAACCCTTCGCAGGATCGCCAGTTGGGATCGCGTCCAACCTGTAGATAAGTATGCCATGGGTCTGGGGATCGTGGAATCACTGAACGGCGCAAGGACATAGAGAGTAGAGAGAGGGACTCCACGCTGCTCTGTCCGAATCTCGGTCAGATGGGCAGCCTAACAGACTGGAGCAAGCCGCAGAACGGAGAGCTCACTCGTAACGGTGAGAAGACAGGTCGCAAGAAATAGTCTAAATCCGCAATCGACAAGATGTGGACACCGCAGGCATGTTCGCATGTTCAGCAGTGTTGGCCCCCGAACGGGTTGCACTGCTGTAACTGCTGGTGTACAGCCCAGGACAGACGGCTGTGGCGCGACTTCGATTGGTGGTGCACTTGATCGATAATTCGGGTGGCCCAGTTCTATGTGCTTGGAGTTTAGAGCGGGTGGCCCATGATGGGGCGTGGATGGGTAAAAACGTGTTGGGAAACGTGTTGTATACGTGTTGTATCCGTCGGGGGCGTGCTTGAGCTCGTCATTCCATCACGGCATCAAGTCACGCATAACGCTCAAACACCCAAAACGAATCTCCATGAATGTCCACCAATCTACCACACTCCCAAGGAAAACATCAAGAAACTTCTTGTTCCTCCGTAGTTCGTTACTGCAATACCAGCATATGTATACGCAATATACCACCCCCATGCTATGCTACGAGTATATCGAGTAGCCCCCCTGCTCGTATGCATCGTCATGCTCCAGCAAAATATCAAAGTCATCCTTCTCATACCAGTTCATCCCAAAACACAATCAAAACCAAGACAAAAATCAAAATCCCAACACCAAAACAATACGTCCGAAAATGATCAATCGCATACCAACTCTTCCAAATCACCAAGGAAGTCCCAAACACTAACTCTCCAAAACACTATCATCTCCACTTGAATCCCTCCATCTCTTGTTCAAACCCGTACATATCCTCTCTCTTCCACTCCACGGCAAAACACGATTTGATCTCAAAACACTTCTTTCACTGCAAATTCATCACAAAGTCTCAATGCAACGCAAAAGTTTCCTTGCTGATAGCCTTCGTCAAGAAATCTGCATGCTGAAACTCCGACGTCACATGCGTAATCGAAATCTCCTTCCTCTCTACCAATTCCCTGATAAAGTGATGCCGTACATCGATGTGCTTCGAGTTTGAGTTTATGATCGGGTTGTGCGCAATCTGAATCGCTCCCTGATTATCCTCGAAGACCGGAATGCACGGCATACCTGCATCTGGCAACATAAAACGCCAAACCTGCCTAAAGAAAAGCACTTCATTCAAGACATCGGCAATTGCCACATACTCTGCTTCCGTTGTGGAGAGCGTGACGCACTTCTGCGTCCTCGAAAACCAAGTCACACACCCACCCCCACACATCACTAGTCCTCCTGAGACCGACCTACGGTCTGCTGCCTTGCTTGCATAGTCGGCATCCACAAACACCTGCATGCTCATGCCAGTGACCACTCCCCTCTCAAATGTAATCCCCATCCAACTCGTCCTACGCACGTACCCTAAAATACCAAGTGCTGCCTTCCAGTGCACCATCTTGGGAGACGCGCAATACCGCGCTACTGCTCGTACTGCATTCGCGATGTCCGGCCTGGTTTGAGTGGCCAACCACATCAGGGATCCTACCAACTCGCGAAACGGGACATCAGCACACGCTTCGTT